CTGTGCAGGCTGGTGGTGGTGGTGTAATGGTGTGGGGGATGTTTTCCTGGCACACTTTAGGCCCCTTAGTGCCAATTGGGCATCGTTTAAATGCCACGGCCTACCTGAGCATTGTTTCTGACCATGTCCATCCCTTTATGGCCACCATGTACCCATCCTCTGATGGCTACTTCCACCATGTCACAAAGCTCTAATCATTTCAAATTGGTTTCTTGAACATGACAATGAGTTCACTGTACTAAAATGGCCTCCACAGTCACCAGATCTCAACCCAATAGAGCATCTTTGGGATGTGGTGGAACGGGAGATTCGCATCATGGATGTGCAGCCGACAAATCTGCGGCAACTGTGTGATGCCATCATGTCAATATGGACCAAACTCCCTGAGGAATGCTTCCAGCACCTTGTTGAATCTATGCCACGAAGAATTGAGGCAGTTCTGAAGGCAAAAGGGGGTCCAACCCGTTACTAGCATGGGGTACCTAATAAAGTGGCCGGTGAGTGTATTAGCACATCTATCAATTTAAAAAAATATCTAATAATCATATCTAACATCAATAGTAATCTATAATGAGCATGTTTTATTTTATTTCATATACAACATTTGATTTGGAAATGAGTTGCGGCAGTGATTCAACGATTGTTATGTAATGAGACGGAAAATAAAAATATTTAATACACGATGTATGGTAAAATAGAGCTTGTTTAATAATATCTAATATCAGATATTATTATAGGCATCAAATATATAATAATATCAGAATATTATTTACCAGTTGATGCTGATGAATTCAACATAATAATGCCTGATTATTTAAGTCTATCACTACAAATAACCGATTCAGGAGTGTAACGTGAATCCATCATCCCTGATCCTGGAACAGCTGAGCTGCGTCTCTTTGTGAAGGTCAGCGCTGAGCGAGTTCAATAGGCACAGCTGTTTCTCTGTCCACGGGTCCATGGCCGAACAAACGTGTGTGTTCTCCCGGGCCAGAGGCCAGCCGGGGCCGCGCCGGACAAAAGCGGCGGCGAATAGCCTTGGCCAGATTCCTGAGCGCAACAATGGCCCTGGAGCCGCAGCCGTGACCCGCTGAAGCTGGTGTGCACCGCATGACCGCACATGAGGACACTCTTTCATATTCTGGCCCTCACAACAGATCAAAACTGTCAGTGACGGAAACATCACTTAACAATCGTTGGTCACTATTCAATTCAAATGCTTTTCATGATGCTGTACAAGGCCCAGAAGAAGCACAGTGATTTCGGGAGAAAAATATATATTATTGAATATTATGCAATTAAATTATATAGAATCATATCTTTGATATTTCAGAGCACATCTCGAGAGCTCATTTACTTTATGAAGATTATTTAATATTTTGCCTATCTATTACAATTAAAGCTTTTTATTATAGCCGCCTCATTGCATAACAGTCGTTGAATCACTACCGCGACTCATTTACAATTCAAATGCTGACATATAAAAGGCGTGTGGCATTTTTCAACATTTTCTAAATAGATTTTGGTTGAAAAAAATATATATTTTATTGAATATTATGTAATTAAATGATATAGAATCATATCAATACATTTCTTCGATATTGTGCATGTGTCAGAGCACATCTTGAGAGCTCATGTACTAAGCCTTTACTAAGATTATTTAATATTTTGCCTATTACAATTAAAGCTTTAATCGTTGAATCACTACCGCAACTCATTTACAATTCGAATGCTGGCATATAAAAGGCGTGTGGCATTTTTAAACATTTTCTAAATAGATTTTGGGTGATTTTTTTTTATTTTTTTTTTTTATGTTATTTAATTAAATTATATAGAATCATATCAATACATTTGTTCGATATTGTGCATGTGTCAGAGCACATCTGTACTGAGCCTTTACTAAGATTATTTAATATTTTGCCTATCTATTACGTATATTTTTATTATTATAGCCGCCTCATTACATAACAGTCACTACCGCAACTCATTTACAATTCAAATGCTGGCATATAAAAGGCGTGTGGCATTTTTAAACATTTTCTAAATAGATTTTGGGTGATTTTTTTATTAATTTTTTTTAATGTTATGTAATTAAATTATATAGAATCATATCAATACATTTGTTCGATATTGTGCATGTGTCAGAGCACATCTTGAGAGCTCATGTACTACGCCTTTACTAAGATTATTTAATATTTTGCCTATCTATTAGGTATATTTTTATTATTATATTATTATCATTGCATAACAGTCGTTGAATCACTACCGCAACTCATTTACAATTCAAATGCTGACATATAAAAGGCGTGTGGCATTTTCTTAATTGATTTTGAGAGAAAAATATTTAATTTATAAAATTTTATGTAATTAAATTATAAATTTACATTACATAACAATCACTGAATCACTACCACAACTCATTTCTAATTCAAATGTATAAGGACCGGAAGACAATACAATGCTGAATAAAGTCGTAGTTTTTGTTATTTTTGGAGCAAAATGTATTTTCGATGCTTCAACACACTCTAACTAACCCACTGATGTCACATGGACTACTTTGATGATGTCTTTATTCCCTTCCTGGACAAGGACAGTATACCGTACACACATTTACAATGGAGGGACAGAAAGCTCTCGGACTAAATCTAAAATATCTTTAACTGTGTTCTGAAGATGAACGGAGGTCTGACGGGCTTGGAGCGACATGAGGGAGAGTCATTAATGACATCAGTTTCATTTTTGGGTGAACTAACCCTTTATCCTTCTTCAACATTTCCCATTTTCCCGCTCCATACCTGAGACTGTAAGGCTGGCTCTTTGGCTCAGGATGGCTCCGTACGTGTTCTGCACGAGGCACTGGTAGAAGCCCTCGTCCGAACTCCTCACACTGGAGATGCACAGCGACCCGTTGGACAGGACTCGCACGCGGACGCTCTCCTGGAGCTGGAGCCCGTCTGTCCTCCACCGCACAGCGATCGGAGACTCGCCCTGAGCCTGACAGTCCAGCATCACGAGCTGGCCTCGGGGTGCAGACACGTCCTGCGGCTGGACGGTGAACGACAGCTCACTGAAGCCCAAAACCCCTGGAGATGATCAGATGGCATTAAACATTGGCATTTGGGCAACAACAACACATTCTGGTCAAGCTTACACAATTCAAATTATGATTCAAGCAAACCAAGACTTGAACGAGGGTAATCCATTTAGTCACAGTCAACTGAGCGAGAAGAATCAGTGCTTTTAGCCGCGTTTCCACCGCAGGAACTTTACCCAGGAACTAGGAACTTTGGCCTGGTACTCGGTGTGTTTACACCGCAGGAACCAGGGTCTAAATGAAGTTCCGGGTAGATATTTCCCCCTCCGAAAGTCCCTGCTCGCGAGGTAGTACTTTTTCAAAGTTCAGGAACTTTCGCGGGTGGGGCTTGTGCGCTGAACATGCTGATTGGTTGTGTTCACGCCGCATTATGATTGGATAACTCCGCGCAGCATTTTATTTTAACCGGAATTTTTAGAATCTATTGCAGTTCGTGGCTTCATGCAGTAATGAAGTTCCATGCAGTAAGAGTTGTCTGTCTGCAAATATGGAATTTAATAAAAATAAAAAAGGCAGCTGGACCGACGACGAGATTCAGGCTTTATTAAGCGTATTTGCGGAAGAGAAATTTTCTGCGTGTTCGTCCCAGCCTTCTCACGGTCAATGTCCGCAATAGCTGATAACATACGCTGTCTAATTTTAGATCTAACGTTAGCATTACGAGCTTTCTGAACACGCTTTAGTATCAGTGCTCGTCTCTTTTCTGCCGTTTTGTTAATTACCTGGTTAGTAAACCAATACATCTCAAACAACTGCAGCACAGTGTGAATCTCTTCCATATTTATTATAAATGTGGCGCTCAAAACTGATTACTGTCTTTTACAGTCTACTGTCCGTCACAAGCAAGCAATGAGCAGTCGCGCGCAGTTTACCCGGTACTTTAGACCGCGATGTAAACGCAGAAAGCTACCGGTCTGGGGCAAAAAAAGTTCCTGGGAAAAAAGTTCCTGGGACAAATTGTTCCGGGCAATTGCGGTGGAAACGCGGCTTTTGATGGACATTGATGCATTTTCATTCTAATTCTTTGGGGTTTTCACACAATTAAAAGTTCAATTAAGCCATGTGTAGGTGTGTTAAGAAGCCTTAAAATCAATGTTGTTGCTGCATTTTAATATAGTTAGATTGGGTCAGTCACAAGTTAGTAAAATAATACTTTTGACTTGCATAAAACTGGTTTGATTCATCATGAGATCCACTGCAATGGTCCGATCTTTAAAAGCCATTTCAGTCTTTTAAGGTGTGATGTTACAATATAAACTAAACAGCTGATGAAAAGACTATTTGACCACAAATACCATGGTTAAACTATGGTTAGTGTAGCAAAACCATGGTTAATTGGTGGTTACCATGGTTAAACTATAATAACCATGGTTTTATTACAGTAAAAGTGTAGTAGCCATGTTTTGTTTTTTTTGCCGTATTGATCACAGTTTTACCACAAATACCATAGTTAAACTGGTTAGTGTAGCAAAAACCATAATAACTATGGGTTTTTTGGTTTTATTTGTAGTAAACCGTGTTTAATTTTCGTAATGACTAGACTCATGAGCAGCACTTCTGATCAGATATTCATCTAACAGATCATTTCCCAACTAAACAATCTATTAATGACCTAAAACGGTGTAATGGTGTAATTCGGGTGAGGTTTAGGTGTTGTTCAGCGGTCTCCTCCTCAGATGATCTGCCTTCAGCATCTTTCGTTCTCAACTTGGAGACCTTCAGCCTTTACGCACGAGATTCCAGTCAACATATGAGTGAATAAAACATCTCTTACCTGAAAACGATAAAACCCAGAGTAAAATCAGCAAACGCTGATGTGTTTTCCATTTCACGGACCCCATTTATCGATAATTCCCAATCATTCCGTGCGTAAAACCAGCGCGCGACCGGAGCGCGTCATGACTCTCCAGAGAACCGATCACTGACTGAAGCTCGTGCTCGCGCTCGCGCTCCTGCGCGCGCCGCTCCCGCCCCCCGTGAACACGTGACTCCGGCTCGCATTACATATTCATAAGGTCCTCTTCTAATTATGATCTGATTTCATTGGTCATTCTGCATCTTTGACTTACACAGCTCCAACAGACTCGCGATGAATCAAAATCAAAAGTTATATATGTCAAATGTGTCAATGTATTAAATATAAAATATAAGAAATAATTTGCGGAAATATGTAGTAACATGTATAAATGAGTTGAAAAGTGAGTATAGATGTGCAGTATTTTTCTCATGAAGTGTACAGCAAGTGTAAACATTATTAATTTTCTTTTTTCAAGTTCACTTTTTTCCCACTTTAGCAATAATCCGCCAAGTATCTTCTTCAAAAAGAGACCAAACTGCAGTCTGTTGCTCCAAAGCATTGAAGGTTTATGAGTTTAAGTTGGAAATGAAATTTTCAGGTCTGTGCTCAAAAAGCGAATAATAAATGGATTAAAACTAGTGCATAAATATCATCTAGAACCTACAATCCCCTAAAAACACAAAAAATTCAATTAAAAAAGTAAATTTTGGTCATTTTTGAGTGAGTGAGTGTGTGTGTGAGTGAGTGAGTGAGTGTGTGTGTGTGTGTGTGTGTGTGTGTGTGTGTGAGAGAGAGAGTGTGAGTGAGTGTGTGTGTGTGAGAGAGAGAGTGTGAGTGAGTGTGTGAGTGTGTGTGTGTGTGTGTGTGTGTGTGTGTGTGTGTGTGTGTGTGTGTGTGTGTGTGTGTGAGAGAGAGAGAGAGAGAGAGAGTGTGTATGTGTGAGTGAGAAAGAGAGTGTGTGTGTGAGAGAGAGAGTGTGTGTGTGTGTGTGTGTGTGTGTTGTGTGTGTATGTGATTATGAGTGTGCGCGTGTGTGTGTATGTGTGGGCGCGCGTGTGTGTGTGTGTGTGTGTGTGTGTGTGTGAGAGAGAGAGTGTGAGTGAGTGTGTGTGTGTGAGAGAGAGAGTGTGAGTGAGTGTGTGAGTGTGTGTGTGTGTGTGTGTGTGTGTGTGTGAGAGAGAGAGAGAGAGAGAGAGAGAGAGAGAGAGAGAGAGAGAGAGAGAGAGAGAGAGAGAGTGTGTATGTGTGAGTGAGAAAGAGAGTGTGTGTGTGAGAGAGAGAGAGAGAGAGTGTGTGTGTGTGTGTGTGTGTGTGTGTGTGTGTTGTGTGTGTATGTGATTATGAGTGTGCGCGTGTGTGTGTATGTGTGGGCGCGCGCGTGTGTGTGTGTGTGTGCGCGCGTGCGCAGTGAATGCAGTTATTGATCAGAGAGCTGATCTCTCACCCTGCAGGACAATAGAGATCAGAGAAACATCAGTGTTTGACACACACACTCGCTCTCTGTTCACACACACACACACACACACACACACACACACACACTAACACACACACACACACACACACACACACACACACACACACACACACACAGAGGACAGGCTCGTTTACTGCTTTCAAATCAACAGGACTGCAGATTTATCTTAGTTGTAAATAAAACAAAGATCATCGGAGGACGTTTTCAGTCTATTTCAGTCTTTCTACTTCAAAACTTCACATTTAATTCAATATTTCTTGCCACTGAATAGTTTTCCTCAGTCTAACAGCCGTAAATCTTCTTCCACAGTATTTATTCTGGCTTTCCAGTACAAATCAAATCATTTTTGAATCACTGTATATACATTTACATGATTTTAATACGTGCCTTATCAATCCCTCTGCCATCAGAAGTCTGAAGATAAAGGCAAACCTCAGCGTGTGTGTGTGTGTGTGTGTGTGTGCTCAGGTTAATCAGTTATTGATCAGAGAACACTGATTGATCACGTATATATCACAGTCCAGGGTTTGATCTTTCTCAGCACAGAAAGAGAACACAAGTTATGCTGGAATATGATATTTGCACTGGTGTGTGTGTGTGTGTGTGTGTGTGAGCGCCAGCAGGACGAGGATCGATAGCGCTGGAGACATTAGCATTGTGTGAATATGCGTCGGATCATGGGAACGGGACACAACACTCGGACGCTTCGCTCTCATTGGTCGGATCCACGTCCAGGGTCAACCTCCATCTACAGCAACCTCTGACCTTTGACCTCTGGCTTGGACAGAATGACCTCTATTCCCCGCAAAAGCAGATATGATCGAATATGCAGAGGAGCAATTATTATTAGTGCGCTTTCATTAGTCAGGAGCCGATATTACACTTTGGCATGTAAATCGTAACTGTTATCACTGAGACACTATTTTAGTTACTAATCATTTAGGTTTTATATTTAGTTTTTTTTTTTTTTGTTTTTTTTTTAATTTTGTTCTGTTTTTGTTTTAAGTTTATTTAATGTCTATATAGTATATATATATTTTTAAATTAATTAATTAATTATTTCAGTTAGTTATTTTAGTACATCAAGTTAAATTAAACGTCACTACCGGAAATAGCTGAAATAAAATAAGGTAAAATTTTTTTTATATTTTATTTCAGTTAACGTTTATTTTATTTTAAGTAACAAATGTTTTTTTGTTTATTGTATAAGGAGAAAATTATGTTTTATGAGTTGTTTTAGTACAAATATTGTATTACAGGATGTTTTCTACGAGAAAGATATATAGGCTATTTAATTATTATATATATAATTTATAATTATATATATTAATAAATAATATTATAATATAATTATATTATATATTATCTTAATATTAAATATTAATTGTAAAATATATATATATATATATTATATAGATATATAAACAATTTTAAAATATTAACATAAAAATATAATTGTATTTAATATTATTAGTTATGAATATATATAATTGTATATATTAATAGTATATATATATTATCAAACAACAATAATTAAATATAATTATGTATATATATATATATTATTATTAAATATAATTATATCTATAATTTTTATATTTCAAAATTATACATATATTAACAATTACTATTTTTTTTAAATTATATATATATAAATATATTTACATAATGACAAATCTTACTAATATATACACTTATAAATATAGTAAAAATAATTTAAAACAGAAACAATTAAGTAAATGTCAAACAAAAGCTAACTCTGTTTTAAATTTAAAATCACCAAATGTGCATGTCTGATATCAGCTGGAAGAGTATTAAATAGTTTAGGATGATATGAACAGAATTTTATATTTTATACTTGATATTGAAGAATGTTGTTGATGGAAGAGTTGTGAGATCCCAGCATGCATGATATGACCACCATCTCCTGTGTGTGTGTGTGTGTGTGCGTGCGTGTGTTGCGAAGCTGCAGTGTCAACATGAAGCGACAGAGGGCGCTATACTGCACAAACACAGGTCAGGACATCACAGTGTTGTTTAAAAAAATGTTTATTGGCTTTTAAAACCACTTAAAAAATCTCACCTGTGAGTACTTTCCATTGGAAAAAAAAGAGAGAGAAAAGAACAAAACATCGCTGAAACGCTTTTGCAATATTAACAAGCTACTGTCCACATATAGAGCAGATAAACAAGCACATCAGAAGGCTCAAGTCTACAGATCCACACAGACAGACAGAATGAACATGTTTTCCTACCAGACATCGGACCAACTGCGGCATCAATCCCTGCGTATCAAAAGAGAACCGGAGTCGTACTTGTAAAATAAAAAACGGTTATTAATCAGTGCCTTGATGAATGCCAGAACATAAAAAATATTTACAGCTTTCTTCACATAGGCGTTTTTTTTATATATAAAAAGGATATATTCAAAACGAAATAAGAAACAATAACAATAGAACAACATTCATGAACAGAAACAGACTTATTTTAACTTAGTAAACATCATAAAATGCATATAGAACTACTTTTGTCTCCTCTTGACCTGGTTAACGATACCAGTGCTCTGATTGGCTAAAAGAGTGGTCACGACAAATACTACCATAGATATTTTAACATACATGCGCACATACAGTCATTTTATAACATGGTGAAGCATGTTGGATTTTTATTTTATTTTAAACACACTGCTTAATAATGTCATTTTTAAATCTTGTATTTTCATATTTTCTTCTCAGGTACGAGAAGTTGTACAACGCGGATCTCATTGAGATTAGAGCTCATTGCTACACAAGGCAATTATTCATTGTCATTTTTTCTAGCATGAGTTATTCCCCTTTAGCTTTTTATTGTCATTAGAAGAAAAATAGCGTGGGCACCAATTGTTCCTTAAAACGACAGAAATAAACAAACAATACGAAACCTTTTAGTGCAATAATATGAATTTCAAAACCATTTCCAGTGTCCGCTCCTTTGATTCGCCTCCGCACACAACATAGTCACGATAAAATGCCTTTATATTCAAGCCTCATCTAATTTAATTATTTTTTTTCTCTCGATAAATCCATGCTATAACATCCTCTCTCATTTACACGTCACATCTGCATATGCAGGAACCGATAAACTCCTAAGAAATATGGTACATTAGAAAGCTACAGATCCAACAGACAGCATTTACTAGCACATCACAGAAAGCCAGAAACGTAACAAGCGAGATATCGTGCTGGCTATATGGACTTATGATTCCTCAAAGTTTTCTTAAGGGCACTCTCATCTACCTACAAACCATCACCATATTAGCGTCTTGATAAAATGGAAATTTCATAATGACCACTATGTCTTTTTTTTAATTATTATTATACAAATGTCGCACTAACTTGAACAGCCTAGAAATGTAGCCTTTGTGAACTTGTACAACATGCTCCCCAAACCATAGTTATCTGTACATCCGCCATATACACATAATTTACACAAGATTCATCCCGCAATCTGATAAAAACAAAGCAAAATAACATTGTCTACAAGATCCCTTTTGGATGACGCCAATTGAAGATGGAAACCGCAACGTCTCTTGTTCTTCGACAGCTTCTCTTTGGTATGGAGTTAAGGCCGGAGAAACTACACAGGTTTGCCT